GAATTAGAGGATGAGGAAGATGAAGTTGTGAAGGAGATTTATGGGGACCGAAAGTTTGTGGATAGTGGGAGGAGCAGCCACTCGAAGCCTGGGGTATCCGAGGAAGAAGCTCGGGCGAAGGAGGCTGAGTTACAGTATAGAGCGAGGCCGAATGTGGGGAATGAGAGTGAGCCCCCTGTGGAATATGAAGTTCATATGGTGGATAAAAAGGTTGTTGATTCGGAGAAGACGAAGGATCAGGGAAATACAGCACCGGTTAGTGGGTTCAAGGGGGATTTGGAAGTCGTGAGGGAGATTCAACTTCAGTTTGAGCATGCTTCCGAGTCCGGAAGTGAGCTGGCTAAGTTTCTTGAGGCCGGGAAGCTTCCTTATAAGCGAAAACATGGCGGCCATCATGGTAAAGATTTCATCTTTTGATTGTCAATATTTAACTCTTACGTGTGACTGGCGTCAAGATTTGATTTTTTGCGCAATTGGCATGAAGATTTCATATTTTATGTTTAATCAGTCCCAAAATGGCATGAAGATGTCATAGCTTGTTAGTCGGGGGAAGCATTGAGCCCTTTTCGTTTCTTTTAAGTAAAAGATTTATTTAATTTTCAATTATAATAGCTTTCTAATTTGTTTCCAGTAAAAGATTATTTAATTTACTATTATAATCTGGTCGACTAGATATAAGGGGTTCATTCTGATCAAGTTTTGATTTTTTTTTTAAATGTTTAGATGGATATGCTTGATCTTGGATGGATTGTATTTGATATTTAATTTTTATACAGCAGTTTCATCCAAGATGCTGCATTTATCTTTGGTGTCCTCACAACCTTCGACATCTAAAAGTTCCGGCGGTGCTAATCCGGACTTGTTAGACATCAATCAAGAATTAGAGCTTAGGTCCAAGAATCTTTCCTCTACGTTACATAAACTTTACCTCTGGGAGAAGAAACTGTATGAAGAAGTCAAGGTACAATGTTAATTTCTTCATTAACTCCCTTTGCCTTTTATTCTTCTTCCTTCTTCCTGCCACAAAACTATCTGCTTTTGGACAACTGTAGTTGCTCCATTATGCTTGTGCTATTTGGTATGTGGGCCCCTCAGTTGGCACTTTTTCCAAGAATATATTCTAGATTCAGTGATAGATGGTTTTCCTTATCTAGTATGTCATCGACATTAAATTTGTTGTTTATATTGTGGAATAGATGGTGAGAGAGTTTTCTCGGAGCAGTTCAGAGTCATTTATTATGCCTTACCAATCTGTTTCTTTATGTTTACTGCAGTATGTTTCACCTTTATGATTCGATTTTGTAAGCAAAAACTGATTTTTAAATTGTAACAAAGTGCACTTTCTGTTGAATGCTAATGCAGTTTAAGAGCTGAGATTCTGGTTCAAAATATGAATATGCTCTCATGCTTGCATATTCAAATATAAATAGTTGTTGAGAGCAAAATGTGATAAATAAGTATATTTATTTTGCAGGTTGAAGAAAAGATGCGAGTCCTCCACGAGCGCAAGTCCAAAAAATTAAAGCGCTTGGATGAAAAGGGTGCTGAGGCTCAGAAAGTAGATGCAACAAGGACTTTAGTCAAGAGCTTGTCCACAAAAATCAGAATCGCAATTCAGGTAGTTGATAAGATATCAGTGAAGATAAATACCTTGAGAGACGAGGAATTGTGGCCACAGCTGAACGAATTCATTCAAGGGTAAGTCAAAATGTTCTTCGGCCCTTTTTCATTAAAAGTGCATATATCCTAGAATCATCTTTCGATAAATAAAATAATTGCTAACCATGCTTAGCCCGAATAAATTAGGTTGACTAGAATGTGGAAGTCAATGCTCGAGTGCCACCACATCCAGTGCCTAGCCATGGCCGAGGCCAAAAGACTCGACTCCATTGCTCTTCGAAAACACTCGAATGACGCGCAGTTCGAGGCCACCCAACAGCTGGAGCACGACCTTGTCAACTGGACCCTGAGATTCTCATACTGGGTCGGGGCCCAAAAGGGCTATGTTCGGGCCCTACACAGCTGGCTCATGAAATGCTTACTCTACGTCCCCGAAGAAACTCCCGACGGATTAGTCCCCTTCTCCCCCAGCCGTGTTGGGGCACCCCCAATATTTGTCATCTGCAACCAGTGGTGGCAGTCTCTCGAGCGAGTCTCCGAAAAAGAAGTGATCGACTCCATGCGTGACCTGGCATCCAACGTGCTCCAGCTGTGGGACCGCGACAAGGCCGAGATGCGGCAGAACATGCTCGCCAATAAAGACGACCGGAAAATCAAGAATCTTGATAAGGAGGAGCAGAGGATTCACAAGGAGATTCACGCACTCGACAAAAGAGTGCTTCTAAGTTTGGGAGATGATGGTGCCGGGATGACGCTGACTGGACATGTCGTGTACCCGAACGAGACCTCCAAAGAAGGGAGCCTTCAGGCGAGCCTGCAGCACGTGCTCGAGGCTATGGAGAGGTTCTGCGCCAGCTCAGTTAAAGTGTACGAGGATTTGTTGCAACGTATTGAGGAAGATCATCTCGCCCGAAGAGAGCAAAAAGCAGATTCATAGCAGTCGAGGCAAATATTTTTTTTTTTTTTTTTTTCAAAAGCCGAGGGTTCTCTTTCAACTGAAGCCTTTTATTGGATATTCTTACTGTTGATGACTACTTTTTCCAGAAGGATACACACGAACAGCCAATTGAAGTCGAGGAGGTTGTGCTGGACATACACAACTGACTTCATTTCTTGATGAGTTGGGATGCGAAAAGAGTGCAAAATGCAGAAATTTGCTAATAATCGGGCAGGGATGCATCTCGAAAAAGAAAATGCATAAGGTATGTATTATGAAATGAAAAAAACCGCCTGTCGAACGTGATGTGCATCTTCAGCGGGTGGAGGCCCGTCTGGCAATGTGACTCGTGATTATGTATATTAGTAGGCTTTACTAGTTGTTGTATCGATATTTCTTGTACAGGAATTCTTTTACCTGTTGATGGTATATGTTTTGTTGGGACTGAAAATGTAGCTTGAATAAAAGGAAGGAATTCATGAGTAGAGTTTTTATTATTTCTCTGATTTGTCAAAAGGAATTATGGTGGTGGATGATTGGAAATTGACAGTAACTGCAACCCCTCCAATCTTTTTTTTTTTTTAAGCTAATGCTATTTTATTTTCTTGAAAGGGATGTGAATTGATGATAATGATGATGATGATCACTTGATCAGCAAAGCCAAAGTGGGCCATTTTTTTGGTGTCCTCTTTTGCTTTAGCTTTTTAGCAATATAGCGCAAGTTAGGAATGGATGCGCTGGATCTTTGATGGATATTGGCCTGCTACTGATTGAGGCCAGTGTCTCTTTTTCATATTCTATATTCTTCTATTCATTTATTTTGTAGTTTAAATTTATCTTTATTTTTTCTGAGTTTTTGTTGATGATATTGGATTTTTCTCTTACAAGATATTATTTTTACGAGTAAACAGACTGTTGTTAGTCACATCTAAGAGTTAGATATATTATTAACTAATCATTTTTATTCAAAAGTATGACATTTCGTGTAAATATACATTTTTTTAATAATAATCTCACATAAGAATTTGTGTTTTAAGAAAACCAATTCTTGAAACTAATTTTGGGGAGCTTTTGAAGCATCATAATTATTATTAGTGCCACACAAAGGGGATGCATAAAAAAACCTTTTCTTTCGAATATTTGTCCGCAATCAACTAATTAAACACTGCATATGTTGACAATAAAATATAAATCAACTAAATCGCAATTGCATTTTCAAAATATTTTGAACTCCAAATAGTCATGTTGTCACAGACCAGTGGTTGACTATTTAATGCCACTGCAAAGTAGATCAATAGAGCAAAAAGTGGGGGGCAAACACACCATAACATGCGCAATTTTCCCTAGTTTATTATTTGAAGTTCCGAAAGCATTGACAAACACAATTTAACCGATTCGATTATTTGAAAATATTATTTGATTTTTGACAAAGAGACAAGGAATAGTTGAATAAGAAGGTAAGCTTACATTTAATAATGGTAATCTTCATTTGTTTATTTATTTTTATATGCTAATGAACCAATTGACAAGGAGGTACAACCAGGGTCTTTATCAACATCAAACAGTGTAAAATTGTCGAGTCAAATTCGAGCTTTTGATACTCGATCTACTGCTACAACCCAAGTTTTTATCAGGTTGAGTCGAGATCGGCTCATTAACTAAAATAATCAATAAATGAGCTCAAACTCGACTTGCTTATCAATATAAATGAATTGAACTCAAACCGAATTAAAAAAATAAAAAATAAAAAAAATATGTGTGAAGCCCTATTATCGAGTCTAAATGAGCTCAATTTGACTTGACTCGTCAACTAAAAGTATTCGAGCTCGCCTCGCTTAATAAACGAATCAACTCGATTTAGAACCTTAACAAGTTGAGTCAAGCTCCCCAATGACTCATATTATTTAACTCTAATCATTAATATGGGAAAACCGGAAAATTGCTTCTGACAAAGAGCATGTTTGTTTATGAAAATTTTTGGTTTTGTTTGAATTTTTAAGTTTAGTTTGGTTAATTTTAAAAAAGTGTTATGATTAGTTATTAGTGGGTATATTAAAATAATATTTAAAATAAAAAATTAAAATTGATTTGATTTAAAAGTAGGAGAGAAATGATTGAAGTGATGGTTAGTTAAAATAATGTGAATGGATGAATAGTGAATTAAGCTTGATGTGATGTGTATGAATGATTGATTGATATTATTTAATTATATTAATAATATTGATGATAGTGTGGTTGAGTTAAAATTAAGTTAAAAAAAATAGTTGAGTTAAAATGTGAAATTTTTTTGAAAATTTTTCATAATCAAACATGCTCAAATGTTTTCTCTCTCCCTTTTTTCCACCAATTTTGACGTCGATCCGTTCAAATCACGCCACGTGTCCTCACGAAGGCAAAAATGATAGATTGATAATAAATCTCCCTAGTGACTTTTTTCATCTCCATTTCACAACTAAATTAGCATGATCAAGTTGTTTTCTCCACAAGAAAAAGACGGAAAATAGGAAAAAAAAAAGATAAACTCAGATAGAGAAATTATTAAGCACTTCCAAAATCATTGTTTGAAAACTGCAAATCATTCGTCCTCACCAGCTAAGAACCTAGAACACAGTGTCGGCCCCCTCGCAACTGTTCCAAATTTAAGGTACAGATTCATTAAGTAGCCCATCAACAACAACTGTCATAAAATCGCCACTGCATGTATCAAAGAACAACGAATCGAGCTTGATTGCAAGAACACGAGCAATAAAGGAGAAAAAGATCATATTTTTTTTTTTCCTTTCCCCCCTTTTCTTTTGCCCCCGTTATCTATCTTCGGCCGGCGAAAGAGAGACCCACAGAGGAAGAGATTGTGGAAGGTGTCTGAAGCAGAGTTATGGGCTGCTGTTGTTCGAAATTCCCACCAACCGAGACGCAGCCGGTGAAGGAGAAGGCCCAAAACCTCGGCCCGGCTTCACTTGTTACCGGTCCGCCGCCGCCGCCGCCCACCGCCCCACCGTCTGGCGGCGGACCGGACCCTGTCGCAGCGCCACCTGGGGTTCCAACGTTTTGCGAGTTTTCCCTCGCTGACCTCAGAACAGCTACGAGTAACTTCAGCCGGGATTTCATAGTCTCGGAAAGTGGAGAAAAAGCCCCTAACGTTGTCTACAAAGGGCGCCTGCAAAACCGCCGGTGGATCGCCGTCAAGAGATTCCCTAAGCTGGCCTGGCCCGACCCGAAACAGTTTGCGGTATTTGTTGACATTGTTATATGCTTTTGTAATGTGGTGATGGGCTGAGACTTCCTATTTTTTGTTAATTATTGTTTATTTTTTATATATTTCTTATGTGTTGTAGGAGGAGGCATGGGGGGTTGGTAAGTTGAGGCACAGAAGGCTTGCAAATTTGATAGGGTATTGCTGTGAGAGTGATGAACGGTTGCTAGTTGCAGAGTTCATGCCCAATGATACTCTTGCTAAGCATTTGTTCCACTGTAAGCTTCTGTTCTTTTTCCTTTTCTTTTGTATATATTTGATATTGTTACCCTTAAAGAAATTGAAGCTTTGCAGCTGTTAGTTTGTAGCCGTATTGTATTGCTCATTCGTTGGATACTTGGGTTACTAATTACGATTTTCATGGTCATATTGGGTAGATTTCTGTGATTCTATAGTCTTTATGTTAAGTAACCCCAATTTTTTATGGCCTTTAAATAACTTGCATTCATATCTATTATGATTTGAAGGCAGTAATCTGATGATCAAGATAAGGGCATGGGGTTTGTGTGTTTTCTTACCGAGTTGATATTTGATGAAACATGCGTATCAAGCATAACACGTGTGATTTGATAGGGGAAAAGCAGACCATTGAGTGGCCTATGCGCTTAAGAGTGGCACTTAGTATAGCTGAGGCCTTAGAATATTGTATTAGTGCCGGCCATTCGTTGTACCACGACCTCAATGCCTACAGAATTCTCTTTGACGAGGTGATTTTCGTAATCCTGCATAAAAACTTGAAGGACCTGTTGGTGGCCAATGTAATTATCTTTAGAACTTNAAAAAAAAAAAAAAAAAAAAACAAAGTTGGCTGGATTTTTTCAGGAAGGCGATCCTCGGATTTCATGTTTCGGCCTCATGAAAAATAGCCGGGATGGAAGGAGTTATAGCACAAATCTTGCCTACACTCCCCCTGAATATTTGAAAAATGGTGATTTATCCTATCCTACTTCTCTTTCTCTCTCCCTCTCTGTGTGTGTGTGCATAACTTGTGGGCATATATTATCATGGAATTTATTGGACAGCTGCTTATCTTGGAATTTACAGAACAGCTACTTCTTACTTCATATTTTTAAGTTCACTCTTTTGTTTCCGGATTTGTAATGAAAATAACTTTCTTAATTTGGGTAAACAAAATTGTATATTTGAAGCACTTGAGATACTACTAATCCCACAATTGAGTGTGTACTTGACAAGTTTTACATGATATTTATCTCCATTTTTTTTTAATTTTTTTTGCGCTGCGTGCGCTCAATTAGCAGTTGTGAAGTGGTGCATTGAGTCTGGGAGTGTTCTATGGTCCATGATTTTAGAATTTGGTTAGATAATCCAAAGAATGATGAAGAACTTAAAAGTTTTACAATTTAACTTACTCTAGTAAACATTTCTCATCAGTATGCCTTGAAATCATCTAAGTCTACCAGCTAAAAAAACATACAATTTTCTTTAAATGCTCGACTGATATCTTCTGGACAGTTAAACTACTTACACATGATATACTTCAATATTTATTGTTTCCATCTAGGAAGAGTTACCCAAGAAAGTGTGGTATACAGTTACGGTACAGTCCTCTTGGATCTGCTGAGCGGTAAACATATACCTCCGAGCCACGTGAGTATTTTGTTTCTCGAATTTGCTTCAATTTCATTTCGTGCTTTAGCTTGGTTATTTCTGTAGAGCTTTTGTGATGCCAATTAACTTAAACAAAAATCTGTGTGTAGGCTCTTGATATGATACGCGGTAAAAACATGATAATTTTGATGGATTCTCATTTGGAGGGAAAATTTTCTACTGAAGAGGCAACAGTAGTTGTGGGTCTCGCCTCTAAATGCCTGCAACACGAACCTAGGGAGAGGCCGAATATAAAAGATCTTGTCACAACTCTTTCCCCTTTACAGCTCAAATCAGACGTAAGCTTTGTCACACATCCTCTTTTTTATCAGTTTATCATATATTAGCACATTAATTCGGTTTATATATTATCGGTTTTTAGGTTCCCTCACTCGTGATGCTCGGAATTTCTAAGCATGAAGAATCTCCGAAAAGCCCACAAAGAGCACTATCACCAATGGGTGAGGCGTGTTCCCGAATGGATTTAACCGCAATACACCAAATCCTAGTCACCACTCACTATCGAGACGATGAAGGAACCAATGAGGTGGGATAACAATATGATTCTTGAGGGATGCATTTTTTTTTTTTTTTTTTGAAATAAAAATAAAAAAATTTGAGCTCTCCCCTCCCAACTTTCAGTTGTCATTCCAAGAATGGACACAGCAGATGAGAGATTTGTTGGATACTCGGAAGAAAGGGGATTTTGCGTTTCGTGATAAGGACTTCAAGTTGGCTGTAGATTGTTATTCTCAGGTTCGGTTTTTTTATCTGTTAAAAAACTCAATTCTTGTTCTATCGTGGTTGATTGATTTCTTTTAACTGTTTAACACGAAAAGTGCAGTTTATCGATGTGGGAGCAATGGTGTCCCCAACTGTATACGCGCGCCGTAGCTTGTGCTATCTGATGAACGACCAAGCTGACGTGGCACTTCGAGATGCCATGCAAGCGCAAATCGTGTATCCCGATTGGCCCACAGCTTTCTACATGCAATCGGTTGCACTCGCCAAGCTGGACATGCACCAGGATGCAGCCGACATGCTCAAAGAGGCGGCTGGGCTGGAAGACAAGCGGCAAAAAGGTGGAGGATCGTAAAAAAAGTACAGTGAAAAGAAAAGAAATTAATCCACCTTTTGTATCATGAATCTTTCTTGGAATTAAACTTTCATTAAGAAGTCAGTTGCTGCTTTCTCTAGTTTAAAATTGTACTATACGGCAAATGTATTTGAGTTTATTAACAAGAGTAGATTCAACTTTTCTTTTTCTCTTTTGTTACACTAGTGTTCTTTACTACTTGGTGTGGAAATAAACAGCATAGAAATATGTGGATGTTGGGATATATTTATTTTTTGTCAGATGTAGTAAAACCATTTATTGATTTGTGAGATATATATATATGATTATAACTAGTGCTGTAAATTAACCGAACCGAACCGAGCTTGGGTTGTTCGAGCTCGTGTTCGTTTACGTTCGAACAGTGTTCGTGTTCGTTTGTTTATTTTTCGAGCAAAAAATCGTGTCTGAGTTCGTTCGTTTAATTATTCGTCAGAGATCGAGTTCTTTCGTGTTCGAATAATTTAATACATAAACTTTTTAAATATGTTTGATTAACTCGAAATTTGTTTGTTCGAACTCGCTCGAACTCGAAAATAAAAGAAAAAAATAAAAATATTTTTATATTTTAGATTTTTTACTAAAAATATTATGTAAATATATTAACAATAAATAAAATTATGTTAAATTTTTAGATTTTTTATTAAAAATATTATGTAAATATATAAAAAATAAAATAAAATTATATTAAATTAATGTTCGCGAACATAATCGAATGTTCATGAACGAGCTCGTGTTCGTTCGATTATTAAACGAGCATAATTTTCTGTTCGAACTCGGCTCGATTAACAAACGAACGAGCTTTTGTCGAACACGAACGATCTCGAACGAGCTTTTGTTCACGAACGTTCGGTTTATTTCCAACTCTAATTATAACGAATGACTCACTGTTTAAAAAGAAAGTTTTACCAATCAATAAATGATTTTACTATTTCAATCGAAAGATAAGGTGTTCGAATTTAAATGAAATATCAATTTGTGGTATGGATGAACTAGCAGTGCATCACATTCTATAGTACACTCTTTGACAATCTTCACTTTCTATAGTCTCTTAATGATTTGAGGAGATAGAAGTGAAAAGTATTATACATTTTCGTAAGAAAAATGATACATAGCCAGCCTAGTGTACAACTAGGTTGACAACACAAGTGAAAATATACACTTGTGTATTTTTTTATTTTTATTTTTGTAGATGTTTTTTACTTGTGTTGTCAACCTAGTTATACACTATGTTGACAATGTAGCATTTCTCTCTTCGTAAAGCTTCAACAAAGGTGGTCAATGATTTCAGAAGGTCGATGCTAACTCATTCTATTTATGAATATATGATGAATATGACGAACAATAGTGATACGTTTATCGTTCTTCTAGTCAGTTATGAAAAACTTATGACAATGTTTAACATTGTTTCGTGGTCAGAATTGAAACATCATAACAAGTCAATAAGTCTATTGAATTTGAATCACTTTTTTTAATGATTTACTTGGATTTTTAGATCAAGGAGTGTATCAAAATTTGTATCTCCTTCTGCGAGAGAAATATTCAAATCTAAAGACATGTCTGCTGAACTTATCAATACAACTTTAAGAATGCATCACATTTTAAGATTCTCCAGAAGTACAATAAGTCAAGCGAAAAAAGAGTTTTTTTATCCTTTAAATTTCTCATTATGAACACAAATGTCAATCATATGTGGCAGAGTTACGGAGCTTTATACTATCGAGACTCACCCTTCAATTATGGATTTTAAATATGTAATATTTTCGCATGTTGTATTCATGAAGGATTCACTACTCCTTATCCATGTTTCAATCATCTGAATCTTTTGTAGTTGTTTCTCAATATTAAAAATATCAATTTATAATATTTCGCCTTTTATTCATGGCTGCAATCACTATAATATGTGCTTCTTCTGGAGCACTTTATTGTAATATAATAACAACACAAGTAAATTGTCAAATACTTAACTGCTTCTCAGGAGCAAGTTTGTCCAAATAATTTTCATTCACGATCAGGACTTTAGCCTACTCCTCAAATGGCCAAATACAAAGTACAATATCGTTACTGTTAGAATATCACTTGTGAGTTGTCCCACATCGTTCATACATGGAAAATAGACCCACCTTATAAGACTAATGGGCTACTCCTCCTTCCACCAATTGGTTTTGGGATGGAACCCCATTTGGGCTTCATATGGGCTTTTCCTTCTTTCATGGTGTCCTTCATGGTAGTGGGCCAGCACCAATTTTCTCCCAGTTTCTGTCATGGTATCAGAGCCGGTTCTATCTTGGACCGTGTGATGACGTACCCATTGTTTATCCCCCACGTACCCGTATATGGGAGCCTGTTTGTAGTAGGGCTTGGGGCACCCAGCCCAGTTGGGCTTGGGCTTTCGAAGGACTCACAAGTGGTATCAGAGCCGGTTCTATCTTGGACCGTGTGATGACGTACCCATTGTTTATCCCCCAAGTACCCGTTTATGGGAGCCTGTTTGTAGTAGGGCCTGGGGCACCCAGCCCAGTTGGGCTTGGGCTTTCGAACGACTCACAAGTGAGGGGGCGTGTTAGAATATCACTTATGAGTTGTCCCACATCGTTCATACATGAAAAATAGACCCACCTTATAAGACTAATGGGCTACTCCTCCTTCCACCAATTGGTTTTGGGATGGAACCTCATTTGGGCTTCATATGGGCTTTTCCTTCTTTCATGGTGTCATTCATGGTAGTGGGCCAGCACCAATTTTCCCCCAGTTTCTGTCAGTTTCATTATCTATCAGTAATTTGTACTGCCTATAGTCGGTGGTAGAGCACTTCAGTAATTTGTACTGGTAGAGCACAGTTTTCATTCATTATCTATCATCGGTGGTAAAGCACTTCAGTAATTTGTACTGGTAGAGCACAGTTTCATTCATTATCTATCATCGGTGGTAGAGCACAGTTTCATTCCTTATCTATCAGTAATTTATTTATCAGTAATTTGTACTGCCTATAGTCGGTGGTAGAGCACTGCCTATAGTCGGTAGCACAGTTTCATTCATTATCTATCAGTAATTTATTTATCAGTAATTTGTACTGCCTATAGTCGGTGGTAGAGCACTGCCTATAGTCGGTGGTAGAGCTATACTGGTATAATATCATTTCATTCATTATCTATCAATAATTTGTACTGCCCTAGTCGGCCCATATATATATAGTCATTCATATCCTTTTTACATGTACTATTTGTTATCGGCCCATATATATATAGTCATTCATATCCTTTTTACATGTACTATTTGTTAGAAGTGACCTTATTACATGGTTGTTCCATATCACCATCTATCGACTATCATAAATTTATAATACCGGCCGCAGGGCCCCGCTAGCCGATCCATTTAGCTTTCAAATCTTTTATTATATTGTCTATTTTTCAGTGGCTGCACCACTCCACCATTTCACATCATGATACTTCTTTATAGTATTTGATCAATAGTTGACTAGTCACCTATACATTTCGGTTAGGTGGGTTCATGTAGGTACATATACTTCTTTTCATATCAATTGGGTCAAGTTATATATTTTCACATGTTCACGTACCTGATAATTTCACAATAGCAAAATTCAAACATTTCGTAATGACAATAAACATTAACATAACTTCATATAATTTAATAAACCATATAAATATTGGTCTTAAAATGAATCTCTACTTAAATCGAGCGTCATGAATTAAGATTATTTTTGTTATATGTATAACCCTTATGATTTAAAAAAAAAAAAACATAATCATATATATAGGATTTGGTTCAAATGAGAACCAAGTCCTAGCGTGAGAACCGTGAGAACCGCTATTTATAGTTGTACGTAGTGCTATGATTGATTGTATTTTAGTGCTATTTTTAAAATGGATATATTTTCTTAAAAATAGCAACACAATTTATATTAGCATTTGTGAAAATGATAGCACCATGTAATATTACACAATAAAAAATAGCATCAAATCCGGTTCTCACATAAGGACTAGTTTTATTTGAACCACTCCCTATATATATATATATAATTGTTTAAAATCATTTGCCAACTCACGTAGTTGGTGGAAATAATGTCGATATAATATTGATGTTAAACTCATGCAGAGGAAAAGAGAGAATAGATGGATTGTATTCTCTTAATGAGTTAATATAACTTATATTATAATTAAAACTCCTATTTATGATGACGCAACTCGTAATAATACAATAACATGGAGAGTAAAATAGTCATTCACACGCAACAAAATTAATACGATTAGTTGTAGGTGATATATATAACAAGTACTAGTGAGCAAATTTTTTTTCTTATTTTCTTTCTTCATCTATATATATTAATTATATAGTTCTATTTTTCATATATATAATTGTTAAATACTATTCAATTAAATCAGAGGCTTATGTGTTGACAGTTTCCAGGTTGAATTGTCGCAGGGAGAACATCCTTCTTGGGCAATATCTGTTATTTGGAGGCCCAAATCATAAGTGGCACCATTTTTCCAGTCCTTAGGGAGGGCCTGCTTGGCCCAATACCATTTCCCATCGTACCCAGCTGTCACCACAAATCGGATCTGCAAAGCCCCAGCGGGGACACGACTCGTGTTCCAAACAGCCCCGTAAAGTCTCGTCAAGTAGGTCCAACTTGATGATCCAACCTACAATACAATTAAAAAAAACACAAAATGCAAGTTTTATTTTGAGTTTGAATAAAGCTCGTCTGTTATAATAACAAGCTGATCAAATATTTGAATAGAATAATTGTACAAAAACGAACTCAAATCTTTAACAGACAATTAAAAAATTAGATTGAACGATAAAAATGTACCGAGGCCACATCAGCTGTAACGATCTCCGTTTGGCCGCCTTGATGTAAGAATTTAATAGCCAAATACTCTAGTTTTTGACTTGATTCCTCCACACGAATGGACAAGTTCTGTTTCTTGTAGTCACATGGTATTCTGAAAACAATTATATTATAATTAAGGTTTTAATTTTATAAAACCATACATAAATACACCAATAATACAGATGACCGTCGAATAAACCTATAGATTCACAGCCAAAAAACAAAACACTAAACATCTAGTGCATTTATTTTAATGTCCGGTCTTTTTTCTTTATATAAGTATTTGATGGAGCCATCAATATTAATTAATTTGTGGGGCAACATTTATAATACTTATCTCTAACGATTAGGATTCTCGTAAGGATAAGTTGATTGATCGATATTATTAATACGTTGTCTATGTAAAACTCATATTAAGCACGTTATGTAAATATGTACATGGGGTAATTAACTAGTTAATACTTCCTTCTATTCATAACAAGTGTCGTTTTAATAAGTTGCACAGTAATTAAAAATATTTTTTTTGTCAATAATAACTCTCTTTAATGAAGATAGAGAATAATGTTTTGGGAAAAAATAAAGAGTGAATATGAAAAGACGTATTATATTTATTAGTTAAATGAGGGTAATAATAGAAAAATATATACTACAAAAAATCCAAAACGACATTTATTTAGATAATAGTTAAAAGTCAAAATAACATTTAAAAAGAATAGGAGTCAGTATAACTTATTATAACAAACCTCTTGTATTCAACATCAGCAAGACCAAGTTTCAAAAGGTCATTGCCATAACCCTTGTTGGCCATAGCCAAGAAAGCTCTATTGCTCAACACAAAGTCTGTTCTATTATCCGTATTTCGATCTGTCACTATTATCGGAGTCCCTTTTTCTTTGCAGATCTTTCCATGCTTGCATCTTATCTGCAAGTTATACAAATCATAATCACTCACGAGTTTTTATTAGTCCTCTGACTTTTTTTGTAACTTTTTGTAAAATGGTCATTTTCTCACATTTCATTCATCAATTCACTAGTTAAGAAATGAGTGAGAAAGAANCACAAACATCACATATAGTTACCAGAAAACAAGCACCGCAGCCAGCTCCATTTTTGTAAATTGATGGCGCGGCAGCCGCAATACGGCCACCGTTGAATCCTGTAGCCAGAGAACCATAGCCACAAGCTCCAGCTGATTTTTTTTTTTTCAAAAATTAAAAAAAAAAAGAAGAGAATGTATTAAAAGATTTAATAAGAAAGAAATTTCTATTTTTATTTTTTTGAAAAAAGTGAGCTTTAAGTAAGTACTTACAATTAAGAGGTTGATGAGAGGAAAAGTAGGCCGCTTTTGATTGGTGCAGGCAGCGATCACAGGCAGTTGCAAAAGAAGCCAAAAGTAGACAAATACTTACTAACCAAACAACAAAACGAAATGCAGCCATTTTTTGAGTTTTAGTTTTTCTTTAATGTATGTGTGAATTGTATGATCCAAGAAGAAATTAGTGTAGGAATATATAGTGTGAGTTGAAACTCGAAAGTGGAGAAAAAATTGATTTGAGTGAGATTTTGATGGGTGGAGGCCAGTTCAGAACATGAAAAACCAGGTAAAATATTGCTGTAATATTTTTATATATTTTCATTTTATTACGTGTCCCATTCAAATCTGCTGAGTCAAGAGCGAAAGAGACAGGCGCTTGCTCATACGCGGCTTCCACATTATTAATTTCAATAAGTGGAGAAAAAAAAGAAAACAGAGGATAATCTCTATTATCTGTGCATGTGTGTCAGTGCGTGTGATTTTTTTATATTTTTATTACAAATGTGGGTTTTGCTGTGTGGACTAATCGATTTCCAAAAAAACAAATAAAATTGGAAGTCCATTCATTAGAAATTTAGATAATCAAAAAGCGAGTTTTGAAAAAGATGTCAGTGATGATCTTTTGTCATGTTAAGCAAACGTAACGTTTAAATAGTTATATATTTTTACATTAGATATCAGCAGTTTCGCTATAAAAGGATTATAACATTACATAACATCACTAAACATTCTTTTTTTCATAAAAATGTATGTTGAATCAATTGTCTGACTCACATAAAAAATCGAGTCTTCTAGGAAATGATTTATGGTGTTTTCGTGTTATTGTGCCCGCACTTTGTGCGACTTTTTATATTCTTTCACGTTTGCAATATTCTCCGGTTTTGAGTGGAAATCAGTATAATTCATTAGGTGCTATTTTTAAATGTAATAATGATGTGACAAATGGCTTCTCTTTGTTATTGCTGATTTAACTAACTCCACTTGCAATGACTTGTATCATCCCCTTTCAGATAATACTCTTTTTTGTCTTGTTTGTTAGATAGACCTTCGCTTTCTATCAAGGTCTCGAGTAGGCATTTAAACGAACCGAGCCGAGTTCGAGCCAGTAACAAGCCAAAAATCAAGCTCAAGCTCAGCTGGTTAAGGCCTGCACGTGCTTCAACAAGTTGATCTCGAGTTTTAACGAGCCGAACTATAAAATATTATATAAAAACTCTTTTTTCGAGCCTTAATGAGCTTTATCTTTATTAAGCAAAGCTGTTAACCAAACGAGCTTTAAATAAGCTCGAGCTCAGCTCACTAAGGCCTCAAACTCGAGCCTTAACGAGTCGAACTACACTCGTTTAATTTGACAACACTAGTCAGAAGACACTTACAAAATAACTCAATAAAACCCAAAATTTCGTGCTTAGGTTTTCTGTTGTTGGATCAACACACACTCACTTGGCACATGTGATCCAACGGTAAAAAACAACTACATGACGACATATCACATGTAAAAACCCGACTACCCTCACTTTGTAAAATCGACTTTTCCCGATAAAACGAGCTGCTGCGCAACACTGATGAAACATGTCTGATTAAAATTATTTCCACTGGACCCCGCCGGACACATGTTGGGTCAAGGTTAATTCGGATGGGGCCTTTGATAACTCTACTAGATTGAGTAGTGCCGGAGGTTTGATTAGAGACGAGTGTGGAAAATGGGTGGACGGTTTTCTTATGAATATTGGCTACTATACTATTACAGGCACCGAGCTTTGGGGACTTTTGCAGGGGCTGCTATTGGCATGGGATTTGGGATACCGGCGAGTTATTGCGGAGGTGGACAACCAGTGTGTGACGCAATTGGTTAGTGGCACGGACGATAGGTTTGGGACACATACTGCCCTGGTTATGGCCATTCAAAACCTTTTAGATCATGAATGGAACATTAAGATTCAACACGTTCATCGGGAAGCGAACTTCGCGGCGGACCACATGGCAAGCTTAGCGGCCTACTTCTCAGTCGGGTTACATCGGACTTCGTCCCCCCCATGGGGTTGGGAGCATGGTTGCAGCATGATCTTATTGGGGTCTCTTACCCCCGGCGTATTTTAGCCTAGTCGTTATTTAAGGCCTATGACCTCCTTCTTTGTACCAAAAAAAAAAAAATTATTTCTATTTGTAGAAACTTCACAGTACGAAGAATGCTATTTACAAACTCCTACACCCCATGATTTATAGCAACATCATCATCTTTTGAAAATGAAAAATAACGTTATAAGGAAACAAAGTATGCATATGTTTCAAACAAACCTCGGAGTAAATTTTTCAGCCCGTCTTGTCTGAAAGAAGCGAGACGAGGTCATGACGGGCCCGTTCAAGTGCACCAGCCAACTTGTCGGGCTCACTGCCGCCCGCCTGAGCAAAATTCTGGCGGCCGCCGCCTCTGCCGCCACACAACTTGGCTATCGACCCTATGAATTTTCCCGCCTGAATCCCGAGCTTCACTACTCCGGGAGAAAATGCTGCAACAAGACACACCCTTTTTTCATCCGGGCTCGACCCCAAAACCACGGCAGCCGGATCTTGTAATGTGCCCACCATATACTCTGCAGCACTTTTTAGTGCATCTGCATCCATATCATCATCCATGCTCTCCACTAACACCCTATTGACACCAATCAATTTTTTCCCAGCTTTACTTCTACTCACTTACTCTATTCACAACCACAGAGAATAAATACATTTAGTTATGGCAATTACCTTATCTTTGATGAAGAGCCTACTGTAATTGCCTTGCCAATAACAGTCGATGCTTTGTAAGTAGCTGCTTTCGCACGTGCAGCTGAAACTTCACTCCTCGCATCTCGTGCATCTCTCAAAAGATTGTTCACTCTAGCTGTAACATCTTCAGCATTCACCTACAACGAGAATTAGTTATTAAAAAATGGCATACTTTTTTAAAGAGGAAGTGTTAATTTATTATCATTAGATAATTGGATAGATTTTATTATGCTGCAAAGCAATGCAGACTTCATAACTTTTTGAAAGGACATCATCAGTTAAGGATAAAACTGAAATTCGACTTTCTTTCTTCAATTTTTTTTTTTTTTTTTTTCTTTTGGAAAATGAGATAAATACGGTCACATACTTTGAGAGTCGAGCACAGCTGCTTCAAGTAGTTATCTCTTGTGACGACATACTCGATAAAAGCTTCACCGGCCACAGCTTCAATGCGTCTAATCCCAGATGCAATTCCCTGTTCGGAAATTATTTTGAATCCTCGAATTTCGCAAGTATTGCTGACGTGGGTCCCACCACACAGTTCCATAGATACACCGGGAACCTCTACAACCCGTACCTTTTTGCATATCAAACCAAAAGATAGACACAGTTCGCAGAGTGAGTCTTAAATGAATTTAGCGAACCAAAAAAAATGGAAAAAATGAAAAAAGCAGAGAAGAAGAACAACAAACAGACCTGCTCTCCGTATTTTTCACCAAACATTGCAATAGCCCCAGCCTTCTTTGCATCAGTTAACGGCATAACTCTAGTTTCAAGGACTGCAGCATCCCCAATCCAGTGGTTAATCAGCCGTTCGATTTCCACCATCTCATCTTCACGAAGAGGTCTATTGAAGTTGAAATCAAATCTGAGCCGGTCAAAAGCCACCAATGACCCAGCTTGAGATGTTTCCTGCCCTATCACTTTCTTGAGCGCCGCTTGGAGCAGATGTGTAGCCGTATGATGGACCTGGTAAAACAAAATGAAGCAAAATATAGCACTTGTAATGAATTCTCTAAAGCATGCACAAACAGTGCACATTAAAAAAGTTGCAAAAGCTAATAACAAAAGCTACCCTGAAGTTTCAACTTCTCACAAATAAGAAACTCAAGAATCATTCAAAGAATTCCCTCTCGACAATTTTCTTCATATGAGTAAGTCTGAAAGATAACTGCAGATTTGAAAAGTAAGATGAACCACAGGGGTAGTTTTGTAATCACACACTCCCATGATATTTTTTTCATTGATTAGCGTACCGTACCTTTGCTCGTTGCCGGAGGTTCGCATCCACCTCAGCTTCTACTTGTCTACCTATTTCTATAACACCTTCTTTAACGGTCCCTTTGTGAACAAATATATTGCCCCGTGATTTCTGGACATCCTTAATCTCCACAACAGCCTCCTTACATTCTCCAGAGCCAACAACATAAAGAAACCCGTAATCCCCAATTTGCCCACCCGACTCAGCATAGAATGGTGTCCTGTCCAGTAGCACCTCAACTTCACTCCCGTCAGAAACTTGTCCCACCGGCTTACCGTTTACCAACAAACCCTCGACCACTGCCTTAGTCGAGAGCATCTCGTACCCGATAAACTCAGTGTCCGGAACATTCTCGATTATCTCGGCCCCACTCTCGACCGAAAGCCTGACCGTGTTATGCGCAGCCTGAGACTGACGCCTCTGGTTCTCCATTTCTGAGTTGAACCCCTCCATATCTACACTCACACCACGCTCCTCAGCAGCTTCCTTAGTAATTTCGACTGGATATCCGTAAGTATCGTACAGAACAAACGCATCCTTGCCAGAAATGCTAGGTGGGATCTTGTTTGTTCGAGATTCGGATAAAGCGTCAACTAGTATTTGTACTAGAAGCTTCTCTCCCCTCTCGAGGGTCGACACGAAACGGAGCTCCTCGAGTTTTAGTTCCTCGAGGATGCGCGGTGTTTTCGATTTCACGTCATGGTCTATATTGGTGCTTAGTTTAATAACTTCATTTGCGAGTATGGGTAAAAATGCCCCGCCTTCGAGATCACCTTTTATGCCGAGTAGCCTTCCAGTTCGGACAGCCCTTCTGATGAGACGCCGGACCACATAGCCTCTCCCGATATTGGATGGGAAAACCCCGTCTGATATTAGATAGACTATGGCCCGCATGTGGTCGCCGATTATCTGAACAGGTTTTCGAATTTTTTGGTGAAATAATTTTCCAACAACCAAAAAAAAAGGTTGAAATGTATGAATCAAAAAAGGTACTTTAAGGTTCGTTTTCGTGGACTCATCTGCGGATTTATACGATAAGTTTGCCAAATTCGACGCCTTCTCTATGATTGGAAAAATTAAGTCGGTCTCGTAATTGTTCGGGACCTGCCGAAGAAAAATACACGAGAGTTTAACATGTGAAAAGACTGTTAGTTATAGTGGGAGCTTGATGACTTTTATATTATTTATGTTCGGCAGCAATAATAACCTGTTGAAGAATGCGAGCCATCCGCTCTAAACCCATCCCGGTATCGATGTTCTTCTGTTTTAAGGGCTCGAGTGATCCATCA